CTGAAATACTCGAAAGGGAGCATCTAAAGGATTAAAGTGACAGTTGGGTTCAAGACCATTTATTCCCCAGATCTATTCCTAAACCATCTGAGATTATGTGGCTCTCTACATTCTGAGTTCATTGGCATTCACTTCTCTCTACAGATTAAAAATATAAGAAGTCTAGGACTTAAACATTCGGCACAGATCTACATTCTTCTGCATTCACCTTGCACATCAACAAGTCTTGTAAGTAGTATTTCCTAAATCCAAGTGAAAGGCTCTACCCTTTGAAGAGCATAACACAAGAGAGCTGTCCAAATACCCATAAAAATGGACAGCTCGACAGGACTTGTGCAGCTTTCAACCCCCAGGGAAAAGGCAGCCACAGAGAAGATGACCCAAGTGCTCAAGGAGCTACTGGAGAACATTGCAGAGATCTGGGCAGAGCCAGACCACAGGAATCACAGGTTTTTCTGCTTAGGACCTTTAGACACTTAAAAGGCCACATATTGCCATCAGAAAAGAAAAAAGGATATAAGTGATGAAGAAAATCTTCCAAATAAGTATTTTTTATTTGCTGCACCATCACAAGGTGCAGCAGCAAATAAAACTCCCTTTACACTCATCAGATGCCTCCTATACAGAGCACAATAGTCTTAAACTTTGAGGATCTTCAAAGCGAGGAAATACACATCTCTTTTAGTTGTGGTATTTTTCCTAGCTTCAGCCTAAGCTTCAGCAGATGGAAGTTCTCCTTTGATGATCAAAGTTGCCCAAAATGCTGAAGTCAAATAGCTCTTCAAATACTGGAGCTACTACAATCTTGGTAAAAGTTCCTTGAATAGGCCTTTTTAAAAAAGCACTATTCTGATGTATTGTTTAGAAAGTAACAAGTAAAATATGACACTCGATATAGAAGAGAAAGTAGTTCCTAAACTCTTTGCCACTCACAATTAGCAAGGGAGAAAAAAGTCTAAACATTTCTCTTCATCTGTACAGGACATCATTCCTACACTGCAATGATTCATACAGCTTTATAATCAACTCTATCACCCTCCCTCTGCCTACATTTGGCTTTTAAGCTCTCAGAATATGTAGAGCATTCTTAAATGAGTCAAAACATCGTTAACTTTGAAATTTGGAAGTAACCAAGAGTGCAACCCAAAACAATTATAACTACAGAAAATAATGGAACGTAATAGGAATATCAACTAACTTCTACTGGCACCACAGACTGCTACTTAACAGTGATGTAACTAGATCACAGTATTTCATTTTTCCTCCATATGCATTTATAGTTTTTAATGAAGTGAAAATGTACTGATAACAACCAGATGTTCAGTTATGTACACCAGCTCCTAACAAGCTGCTGAAAAAAGCCTTTATAATTTAAAGCTTTGGGAGCTCTATCTCGCAAAAAAATGTTTAGCAATAGTTTTTACATAAAAGTCATACAATCAAATACTGAAGTTGCATCTTTTTGCTGACTATGCAGGTTTTAATCATTAATGTACACTCTTGAGTGCTAACATTAACAAAACCGAAGAAAAAGCAGAGTATCCGTAACATACCCAAGGGAGCCATAAATCAAACATCGACATACTGTAACAAGTGTTATGAGGAACTGCACAAGTCTAATTCTTCAAAAGCAATAATGCTGTAGTTTCTATAAAATTTCTTAAAATTAAATGTTAATACGTGAAACCTTTTTCCTTAGCATTTTGTACAAAGCAGCATAGCCTGTTTTTCAAAAAGGGTAATTTAAGATCTTTTTAGTAACTCTCAGATAGAGCCACAATGCTGCAGAGTCCTGTGGCTCCTACTACAACGCTGAGCACAACTGCCTAAAGCACATTTACCTTTCCCAATACAAACTAACTTTGAGAAACAGTATCTTAAATTCATCATAGGCAATTCTGAGACGCTCCTAGATACGCTTTGCTGTTCATCTCTGCAGCCTTTCCCAACAACAACCAACACACTTTGGTTCTTCGGTTGTATTTCATAGTCAGGGATACGGAGAGCCGGGTTACAGACTTACCATTCGTCATCCTCCCCATCTCACACACCTTCCTTATTAATTTTGAGCTAGACTACCCACCTGCATTTTCCAAGTATGTCTGTAGGTTATTCTGTAGGCAGACATGAGCTCATTCTGCCAAAGCTTCTAGTAGAGCAAGCTCTGCCCATGCTTAGGAAAGACTTGAGCCTTCACGTACTTGGTGTCCTGGCCAAGCCCAAACTCCTATGCCTGCTTTTAGTCTCCGGTTAACATTATGTACCTGCCTGCAAAATACCATACACAGGTATCTAAGCTCTCCTCCCAACAATATCTGTCATCTTGTATATACATCTTCACAACATGATACTCAACTGTGAAGAATAGTATGACCTTTCTACGTTATTACAGTCACAAATTTCTCACTGCTCCGTAACAGAATCTACACAGCTTCATCCAGCAATGCTGTCCGCTCTTCAGTAACACATGTGCAAAATAAACAAAAAAAAGCCAAACCCAAAGCACTAAAAAACCACCTCTGAATAATATAGAGAGAGGTAGGAAAAATTATAGTACCTCTGACACATACTGCTTCCACCAAAAAGCACCAGACATTTAGAATAATTTGAAAAGCAAAGAGTGCAGGACTGTTGCACAGGTACCTCTGCTCCTGCATTTTGGACACAGAGACTGTCTTCCGCACTTTAAAAACAATCTTCGTATTCCAGTGAAGGAGAAAAAAAAAAAAAAAAGAAGCTTAAACTGGGGTGTAGAGAAGCAATAAATTTAGACAGCAGCTGCCAGCTGCATCCACTCCTTCATGAAACCGCATCTACACAACCCAAGGGACACACTAATTGTGACAATCCTCTGTTAAGGCTATTGAATGCTCCTAACAAAAACTTTGCTATTCTGAATGACGCTTCAAAGACAGGCTCAGTATGGAGATTTTAACCGTCTGTCACAACAACAATTCATCTTTAATAGCAGCTTTACAGACAGACGCTGCTAGCTGTGCCGCTGTAAGCTGCCAAAGCTGCCTATCCTCTAGCAAGTGATCCTCAGTCCTGCTACAGAAATCATTACAAGTCTGAATATTTTATGTATTCCACGCAGACAATCTATTCCTTCCAAAAATTCACATACTAGGCTTGTAATTTTCTTGATTTATTCCAGCTAAAGACAGAAATGAACTGCTCCCTTGATA